GAGAGAGAGAGAGAGAGAGAGAGAGAGAGAGAGGACGAATTTGTTTAAATAATGCATTATTGTAACGCAAGTATTATATAACTGGCTCATTGCATTCTTACCTCTAATTTAAAATTTTAATTTTAGCCGAGCTTACTAATATTCTAATTTATCTTTTTTTTTATTAGGTACGTTGACTTATTTACACTGTCAACGGATTACATGACAGATGAAGACGCAGCCTTCATTACTTTTCACCCTTCGCGTTTAATAGGACTTTTCGACATGCTAAATACAGATAGCTTGATAGACTTAATAAGTGGATTAGGAGCACCCAAGCAGAAGATCATGATAACCGTGCCGGTCAATGCGTACAAATTCACTTTGAAGAATCCGGACGAGAATGTTCCAAGATCAAAAACTACGGAGAAGGAACCTGTGTCAATCGATCGTAAAGAGGTGTGAAGTAATTCCTTGAACTGTATTTATTTCAACAGTTTAGCTGAAAGAAATGCGAGTTTGTTAAAGATTATAACATTCAGAGAAAAAGACATAATATTTTTTATATGTTAAATTAATATAATAGTTGAATAAATCGTCTTAATAGTTGCAACAGCTATAAAGTAATTTTGTATTATAACTTTAAAATAATTTTTAATGCAACTTTATGATTGGATTATTACTTAATAGTTGCAATAATAAAATACATAGTTTATTCAACTACGTAGATATTTATATTTATTCTAGAGACCCTATAATTAAAGTCTCCATGACGTAGTCTCATCTGTAATTTGATCCGATATTATTTTTTAATTCACGCCAGTTGTTTAAAATGTATTTTATTATTGCAACAATATCTAACTTTTTTTTGACGATAAATTGTTGCAGAAAAGTGCTGGCGCATCCAACTATTTTTATTCAACAAGAAGTACTTAGATATTAAGCAAAATCAAGAAAAAGTTGAAGTTGCGATTATAGGAGTTTCTAACTTATTCTACATATAAAACTTATATAATTGTAGTCTTTATAATTACTATTACTTTTTCTTTGAATGAAATTTATTTTAAAACTAATTGATCTTTATTATAGCTTTGCGAAGCCGTAAACAACGGGGAATGGATCGTAGAACGAGATGAAGATCTCACGGCGCCTTATGCATTTCAAAACAAAACATGGATTGCTTATGAAGATAAGATTTCGGTCGGAATAAAGGTGTGTACGCAGGTTTTTTTCAGTTGTTCACTCTATGTAAAAAATGAATTACAATATTATTTAAGATTAAATAGAATATCTTTCGGAATCTATTTTTAGCTTTTATAAAAGCAACCGATGTTTGCATCGTTTGTACGTCAGAATTGATTTCAGGGAAAATACGCATTGTTGCGAAATTTGGCAGGATTAGCTTTGCGAAATATTGAAAATGACGTGGAAACCGAGTGCGAAGTACCACTCACGCAAGAAATTTATCGTTCCTTCACGGAGTTTAGAAAAAAATCGAAACGAGCTGTACTCAGTGCGCTAGAAGACGAGCTTCATGTGTGTGTTTTGTGTGTGAGATTCTTTTTATATCAAATTACACCGTTCATATTTTTACTAATTTTTTGAAAATTTCAGCAAATGCAATTTTCGTATCCAAATCATGCGAAAACGTCTAGTTTCCGTGTCACTCGGGTTGTAGACACAGAGGGGCATATCAGAGCTGTACGCGAAAGCACACAAACTGAATTCGTTTGCAGACGGCAAGGTTACTTCGTCCATCCAAAAAGTTGCAATAGGTAATTATGTATGATTAACAACAATAACGATCGTATAAGCTGATTAAATGAAAATATCATTATATTAAATTTGGATTTCTTAATGTGTAAGTATATATAATATTATATCGAATATAATAATATTGTTCTTTTACAGATTTTATCGCTGCGTAAAATTCAATCAAGCGATAGAAGATTATTCTGTTTTTGAATTCGATTGTCCAGCTGGACTGTCGTTTGACGAGCGCACGGAAGTTTGTGTTTGGCCAGGCTCGTTACCTGAAGGTTCACCATGTCCTGGCAGTAGCGAAATTGCTCCTGTCGCCCCGAAGACATTCGAATGTTCTCAACCTGGTTATTATGCGGATCCACAAAATTGTCGTTGGTTCTATGCTTGCATGGACTTAGGTGTGTTACGATTCATGTTTAATGAGTTATTCATATATTCACATATAAATTGTGTGTTATTCAAAATCGCTGAAGAAAGCATTACAATTACAGAACATGACGTGTTAACTTCATTGCAGCATATCTATATACAGTATTCTTTTATTCAAATTTGCTACAAAATAAAATTTTATATAAATTTATATAATTAGATTGATATTGACAGGTGGAGAAGAACTAATGGCGTTTGAGTTCCGCTGTCCGTACGGCTTGGTATTTGACGAGAAGAAGTTAGTGTGCGAGTGGCCTTGGCTGGTTCCAGCTTGCTCGGAATCTAGGTCGAGCTACACCAGAAAGGAATACAATTATGGAAGCTACACTACAAAAACCTCTCCTAGCTTTGGAACTGGCGGTTACGTCACTAATGGTTTACCGGAATACGTGACGACGGGAACAGATTACTTTAACATGGATTATTCTAGAACGACTGGTAGTGGTACCCACGGTGCAAACTATTTTGGAACCACTGCAGGAGGTATTGATAAACACCCTGGTATTTTGATTTCTGGTGCTGAACATGTAGGACTGCCCAGTTTAGCAGGTACTGATTATTCTAAATCCACTAAATATGGAGGAGCAGTGTCTTACCCGACATTTGTGGGAGAAGAACGTGGTACAGAATATTTTACAACGAGCGGCAAAATTGGAGATGGATATACTGGATATAGCGTATCTCCTGGCCAAGATGGCTCTGGATACTCAGTATTTAATGATGGATTTAATAATGGCTTTGCAAACAGGGGATCATTAAAAGAAGTTACTGCAGGCTTTTCCGGATCTACCGCAAAAGAGTACTTTGGAACCGCTAGTGGAAATCATTTCGAAGGGACTGCAAGTTTTTCCGGATCTACAACGGGAAAGTATTCTGGAATCACTAGTGGAAGTGATTTGAAGGAGCAAGGTGTAACTTACTTGGAAAAACCTATCTCAAGATATCCTAATTTAGTAGATGATTATGCAGGAAGCGTTAGTATGAGTAGTCCAATAATAGATACAAGTTATTCAAAAACTCCGGGAAATTACTTCGAATCTACAAGACTACCTGGATCATCCATTGATGGTCACGTTGAATCTACTAGTCCTAAATATGATGGATCGACGAATGTATACACAGGTTCCAGCACGCTTAATGTTGATGGTTTCTCCAGTGTCTATCCAGGAGCAGCGAGACATCAGCCGTCATTCGGTGAAACCGGCCCACCATTCGGATCTGTATCTTACCTCGGTACTAGCGGTAATATTGATATAACAGGATCGACTGATAATGCATATACTGGACCAACAACATACAGAAGACCTATTGGTGCAGGATATTCCACAACTATGGGCGGCATCAGTTCTGGCTTTACTGAAAATGACGTTAGTGTGTCAATTAATTCTGGGACAGGATCAAGTCTGCACAGTACAACGAGTTCAAGTCAAGTCCCAGGAACTGATTTTATTAGTAAAATTCCAAAATTTAAACTGGAAACTTCAGGAATTTCTACAACTTCTAAGCAATTAAGTGTTACTCCTAGACCAACAGGCACTACGACAAACTATAGACATGATAATAAGGAAGGATATACAATTCCTGTATTCATACAACATGAAGAGCCCTCAATTTATAGTTCGACCGGAACAACCGGAGTTGGAGGAAGAGACCATAAAATTCCTACTGGTTACGATATTCAGAAAGGTACTTTTGGTGTTACTCCAACTGGAGCTTTTAGCATAGATGGAAGTAGTACTACTGGTGACTCCTTTTCGGGAACTGTATTCAGTCACGGAAATGTTCCTGAAGTGTTCACTTCTGCCAACAAGAATGTTATCCTAACCGAAGGAGTTCAACCTGGCTACGTAGCCTCTTCTGAAACATTGGGATATGTGAGTAGCGGTGTGAAGACTGTAGACGTAGGATCAACTAGTCCAGGAACTGTAATATACAATAAGTTTGGAATATCAAATCCTACGATTCCAATAAGTAGTCCTTCGACAGCTAACGTCTTTCCGAAAGATAAATCTACTTTAAACATTAATGTTTTTGGACAAACTGCTCCTGAAGTATCCATAGGAAGTTCTATTCAACCAGATTCGACAAGTAAAAGCTCGATTGATAAATCGTATGAATTACAATCAACTTATTACGGCAATCTCCCTGCGAGAGGATCAATTACCTATTTGAGCACTCCAAGCGAAGGCTTGATATCTACAACTCCTCAAATCTATAGAACTGATGAAGGACGTAGCACCGTCATGTTTAACTTCGCTTCTAATACTAGCAAGTATACAGATAATGATATTTCGGACTACAGGTCAACCAGCGTTATTCCTGATTTAATCGTATCCGATAGAGTAGAAGGCACTGGTGGTATTTATGATTCTAGATTCGAAAACCCAACTACTTCAGGATATTCTTTAAGTAAATCGGCTGTTTTCACACCAAGTGGATTTACGAAGACTGGTCCAACCAGGACAGGTATAACCACTGCTGTTCTTGGAGGTGGTGGTAGTTACTCAATAAGCACGGGTGATCGTAGGCTTACTTATAGCCCCGATAATATTAGCGAAAAAGCATTTGAAGGGAATGTTGCTGGATATACTAGAACATCGTCTACTGACGGTCTGTCCGTCACTTTGACTCCACCTAGCTATTCCTCGAAAGCAGCACCGAATGCTCCGGGTGGTCACTTCACCGTACAATCATCTACTTCTGACTACTCGTATTCTAAGCCAACTGTTCAATTTGGAACTAGCGGTGTCACATTCTCTTCAACGCCAGTTGGATTGGCCGAAAATAATGTACCGACGTCAACATCGTTTTTCAACCGCTTACCAACGTCGACAGTCAGACCCGTAACTTCTATATATTCAAACATTTACAAAACGACTCCTTTTGAATCGTTTAAGATTCCGGTTTCTGTTCCAACTGTCAGACCTATGATCGATACCGGTTACAAGATCTCTCGACCGATCTCTCCGACAACCATTCCATTATTAAATGATGATCAATTTATCGAAAGAACGAGCGGTTCACAGACTGCATCAGTATCCATGGCTAATATTGGTTTAGGAGTGCCTTTCCAACGGACTAATTTAAATGGCCAGACAGGCCACAGCTCCTCGTTGGGATACCTCCCGCCAAAGTCGACTGAAGCAGGTGTAACTGCATCCATTAAGAAGTACGACTTACCTACAGTAACTGCACAACCAGAGCTCATCGGGATAACATATAAGAAACCTTTACTGGTCTCCAACGTTACGTATAGCCCTTTCTCATTTCAATCACCCACCATATTTAGGCCTTCCAACACATATTATTCTGGCCAAGGATATTCGACTACTCCATTTTCTGTAGGGACAATCCCTAGAGGCGGTTCTCCAACAAATTTGGACACTTCAAGAGTGTCCACTATAAATCGTGACAGAGGCACCATCAAGTACACGCCAATCGAGTATGATACTTATTCAAGCTCCGGATTTGGTTCAATCTCGTCCAAGAAATTCACTTCGTCATTGCCTTCCACGAAATTGTCATTTTCCCCAAAGATCGACAATGGCTTTGCTGTCACAACGCCATATGGCATTCAACCTTCAACATTCTCATACGAAGTTACTACAAAGTCGCCTGACAAGGGCAAAGTTATTGTCAAGTGGAGCGATCTTCATCCTCTTCTTTTAAATAAACTTGGGGCAGAGTGCACATGCAAGGCCGATCCCTTTGCCAATCTTCGTGGTCCAGGTAGGAAGAAGATTGATTCTTCCAAAGGCAAGGTAAATCTGGCCAACTATGACTCTTCTGAAATATACGTCGATTTCGGTTACTCTGAAGAAGACGACTATTCTACCAACTACAACGTTTTCCCAGCGCAGCCCTTCAAGATTAGTCCACCGAAAACGACGACTATTTCGACCAATGTACCATCATCCTCTTACTTACCTACGATAGATGCCACAACATCTGCGAGGAGCCACCAGCTTTGTTCGGATCGTCGAATGGGCAAGAAATTGGAATATGAAGAAGAAAAGGAAGAAGAACAAGAAGAAGAACAGGAAGAAGGAAAAGAAGAATATGATGACGATCCTGATCAGATAATTAACGGTGTCACCGATTGCGCTAGGCCAGGTCTCTTCAGACATCCCGGCCTTTGTAATAAATTCTACGCTTGTCATTGGGATCAGTGGAAAAAGAAATTCACACTTCACATCTTTAATTGTCCTGTTCACTTATCGTTTGATTCCAGTGCTGGCGCGTGCAATTGGCCTAGTAAGGGACCAGCTTGCCAAGCTAATAATTTATTAGTGTAAATACGTCATTAGGCTTTTATCGGATGATCAGCGTCTTCTTGATATCCTCTTATAATACTCCTTCTACAATTCTTTTATACATAATAGAATAGAAGACATCAAAATCTAATTGTATATTTAAAAATCACTTTTAGTTTAAAATCATTTTTTAGATTTCTTTTAATTCGGAAAATCAATTTGCTATTACACAATAAAACGTTGCGAGTGCAATAGGATAGCATGTTATTGCAAAAATAATGAGCGATTGTTACTTTCACGCGAATTCTCGGCCTTGGATTTCTTTCGGAATTTATCCTAACACCCAGATTCCCAAACGTTTGCATTGAATAGCATCGATAAATATCTCGTTGAAGTGAATCTCTTAGCATCGAAGAGGAAAATCATAGGAAGGTGGAGACTTGTTGAGATGTGAAAAGAGAACTAAATTCAAGGCGATCGAAGTACTGCAGGAAAACGCGTTGTTGATGTAAAAATAGTCCATCATGATAAATATCGTGAAAATAGTGTCGAAGCAAAAAAACCGCTAAATCAATGTATATCATTTATATTTCTATATTTCGAATTTGTTTAAAAACTATTAAATTATTTTATAGTTTCTACATAAATTTAGAATATAAATAAATTTTTTCCGTTTAAATTAAACTATAGTATATCAATAATTAGATTAATTTTTTTCGTTCAATCTTAATCATATATCAGTAGTACGTTTTTTTCTAATAATAAAATTAAGAAGGCAAAAAAAAATCGAATTTTGAGAACATAAATAAATAACAATGCTTGTTCTTTATTAAATTTTTATTTATTGTATAAAAATTTTGTTTTCTCTGGAAGTTAGTGTAGAGAAATAAATATTTCTCATAATAGGCGCGAGTGGCTTATCATCTCTTGCCATTTTATCTGACGTAATAATATCTAACGTGCTACACGACTGATATTCTTCTCAATTCTTTCTGATCGAATTCGCGTTTTCTTTCCCGAATGTCCTGATAATTTTCTGATATTCTTAAGATAATTATTTAAAATTTTCTTATATACTATTCATATATTATATACGCTTGTCTTGATTTTCCGTTCCTATCTTATCTTTCCGTATTTTCACAAAATATAATTTATGCGTTGCTTATTAAGAAAACATAGCGATAATGTCAACTTCTACTCATTCTACGGTTTTGACAGCACTTTAATTACCGTGCCATTTACCAAGCGGTTAATTGAGTACTGTTATGATCTTAATAAAATAATAAATTGATGTACGAAGGTGTATTTTCATTTATTAGCCAACTGACCTTTATCATCCTATTAAAATATCGTAATAAATTATTTTGCAATTCAGTATAACTATTAAAATTGCATTGGATTACAATTTCAATAAAAATATTACAAGCTATAATATGCAAAAATTTATATCAAAAGATATTTAAAAATATATATTCTAACATAAACTTTTTAATATCATGTATTAATTATATATGTAAGAACATTAGAAATATACCAAACTTTAAAAAAGATATTTTTAAAATATTTTATTTAAAAGCATATATAATATTATACTCCTTCTTTACATAAAATTATATTAAAATTAATAATAACATTAAGAGAAGGTTCGATAATAATAAAAAAAAATTAATGTAATTTCACGGGCAACGAGCCGAAATAAAAATATTACAGTTGAGAAGAACAAAAAAGTTATATTTAAATTAATGAAAAATAAACAAATAACAAACGTTTCGACACCGATCGGATCATTTTCAATGTTAACAAATGATTAAATTTTTAACGGGAATTTAATAGAAATTGGAATATTTAGTTTTTACAATTAATGTGAAAAAGTCTTAAACATTATTCGTTAGGATGCTTGCAAAATTGTAATCAATTATCTCAAAATTGTATAGTCAATCATAAACGTCGAATCCAAATTAAGGTTGTCTATTATTTAAGTATATAATTTAAAATTATATTACATATATGTGTTTGTACCTCTCTGTTTTCAGACTTTTTATCTTAAAAATTAAATAATAAAATGTTCTTTTAAATGGATGATTTTAATTTATATTTGTTTATTTTTCAAAATTAAATTATCAATCGTATTCCGTTGCATTTAGGGCATTTGTGTCAAAAAGTATGATAGTACTCTTAAAACTTACCTTTCGTTCATTATGACGGGATGCAGTCACTACCTAGCTAGCCAACCAACTTACCAATCAGCGACTGGAGTAGAATCACGATTACCAATCAGTGAGAAAGAGAACTTATTGTGGTGGAACAAGACGCAAAATGAAAGAAAAGGCTGGTGTCGACGCGCGATTCATTAGTTCGGCCTAGGAGGTGATATAAAGGCATACAGAGGTTCAATTCGATCTGATTTGTCTTAACATCAACTGAGGAATCTAATAGCGCAAAATCCGTCGCTGCCATACCATATTTTACCATCATGTAAGTCTATTATTTATTTTACTGTTATATGATAAAAAGTTATTTTTCCTCTAAGTTTCGTTAGACATCGATTGTAATGCTCTTTACCGTGTTGTAATGAACATAATTTAAGATTTAATTAAATTTTTCTGTGTATTTTCCTCTGTCGTATAATTGTAAATATAATTAAATAATATATTATCGATCAAACATTGTATTATTTATTTCTGTAACGAGATGAATTTCGTAAGCATATTTTCATTTATATGAAGAAGTTTTCAAAAGAAAATTGCAATAACGCAATATAATAGGAATGCAAATCAATCTTGCAAATAAGTGCAAAAAATAGAAATGTGATAATCGTCGACCTTGCAACTAGCATCTCACTTTGCAGTTCCGATTACTAATAAAGGATTTTTCTGTTTATCATTATTAGATATTTAAGTGTTTTCAGTATTGTAATCACGTTATTAAAAGACAAATTCAATATATTATGCACAGTGCATTTCGATCTAATCAATAACTTTTAAATTTATTATAGATCTAATCAATAATTTAAATTAAACATTAAATTGTGATTCTACTATTTACAATAGTAAAATTTGAATATTTGACTTGTGCTTTTAAATTGTATAATGAAAACATAATATAAACATTTCGTATTGCAAACAATGCAAACAATTTATGAAAATTTCATTAAAAATACAGAAACGTTTAAGTTTCACATGCACAAAGTTTCATTAAAATTAATTTCTGATATTATTACATGTTATAATATATTCTTCAATTATCAAAATGTTTTTTTCACGAAAGTTATAAAAATTTATTATATTTTAATATATTTGTTCTTACATTACTAACAACAATTTTTAACACCATATACAAAAAAGATTGAATCAGAAAATATAAAATAAAAGATTTGCAATAACTTGATAAAAAGAAAATAAAAGATGTGAAGAAGACGATAAGGAGACTGAGAAATAGCCGCGAGCAGTGAAAGTAGCGCAGACCACCGACTGAACTTTACCGAGAATGGTCACATTGGCGATTAAACATCAGACGAACAGAAAAAGAAAAACGATACAAGCGAAAAAAAGATCCTGCGCACGCCCACGTGACATGTTGCATAATAACGTGTTGTTGCTTCGTCTGCATTTATGTTAATTCTCAGTATCGTAATTTCGAATTGCAGTTACATCTTGACTTTATTTGTAAATCTGTATTTAAAGATTCAACTAATTAATTTTACACTCTATTGTCATCAAACGAATGAGATTTTTTTCAGCAAGATACACAAATCTGCTTTAGAAAAATTCTGTAACAATAAGCATTTACTTTATATTATACTATATGATATACTCATATTTTTATTATACTATATGATATACTCATATTAATTGGGAATTATTTAGCAAGAAATTTAATAGTATAATTTAACAAAAATTATTAAAAGCTAAAAGCATGAATGAATTTAAATTTAAAGGGCACTGATATTTTCATATTACATTTTTTGTTTTAAAATGTTACAAAGAATTTGTCTTTAAAATATTTATTGTCAATATGTATAAGTATATTTTATTTATACAAGTTTTATCAATTTGTTATATTAGATTTGCATACCATAAATTGTTAAAGAAAAATTAATTGCACGCAAGTACAACTTTTTTACAAATTTATTTATTAGAATTTGTAAAAACTTATTTTTATTATTTATATGTTTATATACAATCAAATCAAGCTTTTCGTTAATTAATGTACATGCACTCAATTATATGAATAGGGTAATGTGGGCGATGCTGATATTGGCAACGGTCGTGTTGACCGATGCAGCGGTACCAGATCCACCGGAAAATTCCGGCATCACCACGATCGGCTCCAAAAAATTGGCGACTGCCGCTGATTGTGCCGGACTCGTCGCTTTCTCTGCAATCCAAGGATCAGTAAATGTGAGTAAACAATATAGTACTAATATTATTTAGCAGTCTCCTAGTGAAAGTTTTTCTCAAAATATTTATACGAATTTGGAAATACTTTTCAAAAATGTTGAAAATTTCTACAACTTTTTTCAAAATATTTCATTATACATATAAATTCTCTGAAATATTTTAGGATTTCTATGATTTCTTATTTTATAATTTTTGACAAAAAAAATTTTAATCTTTTTCAAATATATAAAATTTTATTAAAGAAATTATAAAACATAAAAAATCTTAAAATTTCACATATAAATTTCGGAATTCGTATATATATGAACAATTCTATAAAATATGTTATAGGCTTTATTCTGAAAAGTGGTTCAATTTGTGTGTGTGTGTGTAAAAATTTTGAGATTTTTTAAAGAAAAGTACATAATTATTTTAAAAATTTTGGGACATTTTGTTGAATTTATATAAAAATGAAAATATATAATGTAACTCTAGAATAATAACTTTTAATTAAAGATATAAAGATATATATCTGCCGACAAGGATTCGATCATTTTATTTTATTTAAAAAATAACTTTAATTTTAATAAAAATAGAAAAAATTTTTTATGATAGAAAAATTAATTTATCTCCCTCTAGAATTTAATTCTTAGAAGTTAATTTTAAATTCTATTTATTATTTATGCATTTCTCAAGAATAATTTATAGGTGTAAATGTATACAGGAAGCTAAGCTCGTTCTCGCTGAGACTCTAGTAGACAAGGGAGTCGGTTATGCGGCACAGACAGGGATCTTCACTACGCATTGTCCTGGCCTCTACCAATTCAGTTTCGCTGGATACGGTAGTACGGATTTGCGGCTGACATTGAAACACAAACTGAACAAATCCAATAGTTGGAGAACAATTATCGGCGTTGGTCCAGGCGGAGGAAGCAACCTCGTTCTGTTAGACGTCGAAGCCGGTGATCAACTTGCCGTCTTCGTTGAATCCGGAAAAATCACCGACGGAGCCAGCTTCACGGGTCACCGTGTTTATAAAAGATAAACAACAATCTTAAACAAATTCAGGATATCGACTCTATTATGGAAACAAAATCGAGATGTTTTAAAATTTAATTTAAAATAATTCTTGATATACAAAAATTAAAATATTTAACTAAAAATTTAAAATTGAAATAAAAATTTGAAATAAAAAAATTTTGAAATATCAGAGAAATCGCAAGAGTATCATTAAATGGATTTAAAAGCAATTATAAAAGAAGGATTAAAACACTTTTGCAAAATTTGAATTTTTTTTGCAAACAAGAACTTTCTTGTATGCTAAAATATATTTAGTTCGTGATTCGTAATTTTACGATGAAATTAACATTCTGTGATAGTTATTTTATTTTAAAGTACAAAATTTCAATAATTTTTATAATTTCATGAGATAAAATAATAAAATATCTAATTACTCCGTATATTGAACATTTCTGGTTTCTAGCTTTCGCTTTACGTTTCTTCTAGTTTGCTTTCTAACATTTTTTGTTCACATTAACTTTCTCCTCGTCTTTCGATTCATTTTCCTCAATACTTTATTATTTCTTTATTTTCTTCACTACGATAACGAGCAATTAAGAAGCAACTTTCTCTGTTTAAATTTTTGTACAAAATTTACACGCACGCGCCGCGCGCGTCCCTCCTTTTCTGTTATACATTCCTTTGATTAAATTTACATTTCTAATTTTTATCATTTTCTGGTCTTCCATATCTCTCTTCTACATATTTTCCATATTTTCTTGTAATAAGATAATTTTATTAAATTTATAAAAAATATTAACGCAATGAATAAGGTTGTACACGTATTTCTTATCAACACAGAGAAAAAGATTTGTTTAGACCCGAGACTTTTATTTACATTTGTTTCATCGAAACAAATTCAATTTGAAATTAAACATATTTTGTTTAGTCAAAAAATTTAATTTTATAATAAATTTATGCATAAAAATTTGTTTGACTTAAAAAAACTTTTTCTCTGTGAATAAACTGAACAGTAATTTAACATCACACAGGTTTCTTTGGAAGAAACACGAAGAGATTTTTATAACATAATTAAATATTAAGTTCGACTTTTTTAGTTTCCAATCCTTTATAACTTTTGAGCATAGGATACACGTCCTCTTCAAGGAATTCGACAACCTGCTCAGGCGCTCTACCGACAAATGTTGACGGGTCCAGCAGAGCGTCGAGTTGAGATAAAATGGGCGCAAAATATGGATCTTTCCTAATCCTATCAATTAGATCGTTATCTAAACCGTGTTGCTTCACTTGAGCTCCAGCTTCTTGCGATAATACGCGGATTTTCTCGTGGCAAACCTAAAATACATAAAAGTGATATAGAGAGAAAGCAAAATTAATCATTTAATGAGTATAATATTCTTTAAACTATTCAAATTATAGATAATATAAAATAAATAATGAACTAAAAAATGAAATCTAATTAAAAATATCTAAGGAGTATTTCGCACTTGTCTATCGCCACCGGCCTTCACCATGGCCATAATCACATTCTCCGTGGACATGAAAGGCAACTCCTGTGCCACGTGTCTGGCGATAACCTTAGGATAAACGACTAATCCCTCTGTGATGTTCTCGAGAGTCATCAGAATTGAGTCGGCTGACAAGTAAGCCTCCGCTAAGACAAGCCGGCGATTCGCTGAATCATCCAGCGTTCGTTCCATCCATTGAGTTGCCGCGGTATGAAGAGTATTGTTTACAAGAACCATCAAGTGACGTGCCACACTGCAACATCTCTCAGAGCGCATCGGGTTTCGTTTGTAGGGCATCGCACTGGATCCAATTTGCGTGCTTTCAAAGGGCTCCTCAATTTCCTTCATGTTAGCGAGAAGACGAATGTCTGTGCAAATCTAGGGAAATTAAAAAGAAAAAGATAAATTCAAGATCAAGTAGCTTTACAATAAAAGAAAAGATAAATGTTTAAAATGGATCCCTTATTTAAAATTACCACATAATTGTCAATAATGTAGATTGTAGATATACATGCACCAATTCAGGCTCACCTTGTGAACGGTCGCACCGAGTGAACTTAAAACATTCAAACATTCGATGTCGACTTTTCTGCTGTAGGTCTGTCCGGTGACAGTGTAGTGTTTCTCGAAACCAGCCATCTTTGTTACGAGAGCATCTAATTGTTTCACCTTTTTAGCATCACCTGTTGATATAAATTTCAACAATTATTATACAAAATTTTTAAAATATTGCATTATTTATATCGGATTGACAAATAAGTTCGTTTGACTTTTCAGGGAGGGAGAATAAAACAATTTTATGCATTCTATTAAAAAAAAAATATAATTAAAATAGATTAGTAATTTTAATTCTATTTTCTTTTTAGAAATTTTCATGAATTTAAAATATGGAAACTTCTTAAATGCTATAAAATGCTATAAAATGTTATAAAAATTGTTTTTATCAGAAATCCTCTTAAAAAATCAAAATAAAATTCTATATGTATATAATTATATATTTCTAAAAATTAATCTCTTAAATTAAGATCATCTAAAAAATTTCGATATTATGCTTCGTGAGATATTTTGCATGTTTCTTCTTGGCGAAAATAAAAGGGTTGCGCAGATTGAAAGATTAAATAAACCGACCGTTAAAAAGCTGAAGAAAAGATGCTTGAGTGCCAGTAGTGCCTTTAACTCCACGAAATTTCAGATCATTTCTAGCGCGACGGATAGCTCTCTCATCCATTAATAAGTCTTGTAGCCACAGCGTCGCCCTTTTGCCAACCGTTGTCAGCTGCGCGGGTTGAAGATGAGTGAAGCCCAAAGTAGGCAAATTGCGGTGTTCATGAGCAAATTTTGCGAGACGATGAATTACGCCGGCTAGCTTTGGAACCAATATATCGAAGCCTTGGCGGAGTATCAGGAGGTCCTTCAAAAAGAAACAGTATCCGAAAATTAGATCATTTTGGATCAGTTATATTTGACAAATTTAAGCCGGCCACTCACATTCAAGTATAGATAAACTTGCACAAGTGGACTCAAGAATAATAGAACAAAAATGAACACGAGGGCTGGTTCGTCGCCCGTTTATATAGAGCCAGCTTGATGACCGGCGTGCGGAAACGTCGAATTTTCGGGCAAATTGGGCAGTAAATCATATTTTCATTCAAAATCAAAAATAGAACTCTCGAGAATGTCAAGAATGGCTGTACTGATCGTCTATTCTGTGCCAAAAAACTATCCAATTTTTTGTCAAATTTGAATGGAGACAGTGTGTTACCGCTCTTGTCCAGCCATGGATGACCATGTTTGAAGATATCTTTGTTCAGATCATTGAAGATGGCTCAAAGTGAAGCCGAAACGTCTGATATATAGTTATAAGTATAAGTTTATAATAAATAATTATTAATTCGCACCAATTACCGCAGATTGACTCTCATTAGTCTGTTTCGTTTTTGTAATTTGATATTTGCATTCATTAATTTTCTCGGTAATTAGCAATTGACTTAAGATTTGATATAAAGATAAATCGAATTTACTACGCCCTTAGTATCCGGTTGATTAATCGTTAACTAGCGTGGAGGCGCGAGCACGATACCGCATTCCAAGTTTTCATAATGAAGTTTCGTCGTATCTGTCATCGCGAACTCTGAGTGTCGCGTGATAACAGATGTGCGTGAAGTTAGCACCGCTATTTTGAAAAAAAAATAAAAATAAAATTTGTGCTGAATTGTGCTAGATTTGTGCTACATTGTGCCGCAAGAATTAATGACATAACTCAAAAAACAAAGCGTTAAATTGAAAAAAAAAACGTTTTTTTCAATTTAACGCTTTGTTTTTTGAGTTATGTCATTAATTCTTGCGGCACAATGTAGCACAAATCTAGCACAATTCAGCACAAATTTTATTTTTATTTTTTTTTCAAAATAGTGGTGCTAACTTCACGCACATTGATAACAGTGTACCCTCACGTTCCTCGCGCCGTATTCGCTTATTGTATTACGCATTTTTATTACAGCGTGAAATATAGATTACTTAGCATAGAAGAGGCTTTATGCGAAGAATTAATTATGCGATCGCAATTGCTACCTCAGATAGCTATCGTTAATCAATTATCTATCGTTATCGCGTTGTTGCATGTCTCCATATACCACGCTACAACTGAGTTGGCGATTCCGTATTACTTAGTAATGTTGAGCCTTTAGTTCGAATCTTCTTTTGTGATCGAGTCATCGTGCACTTATCAATCAAATGTTTTAATTATCGAGATATATATATACACAATTTTAATAGTCGGCGCGTGTCGCTGGATGGTGGTGTCCTCGTCGCGCGCGGCGACACGCGGAAAGATAGCAGACTCGCAGTTAGAATTTAGATACGGAAAGCGCGGGAAAGGAGAGAAAAAAAAGAAAGGGGCGAAAAGAAGAATAAACGACCTGACGCGCCGGACGTAACAAAGACTGAATAAAATTTGAAAAAATTTCAATATTTTTAGAAATCTTCATAAATTTAAAACATAAAAAATTCTTAAAAACTTCATAAAGTATGAAAGTTTTTTTTATTAGAGTAGAGAGAGTAACTAAAAAAAACATAATTATTGTTATCAAGAGAAATAAAAAAGAAAAATATCTTATAATATAGAATAAAGGCGGAAACTGTACCGTATTATCGCCCACATAACAGCTAGTTGCACCAAGATGGATAATAGGCGCAGCCAGAGGACATTGTTTACTGAATACATGAACGTGCGCCATCACATCGTGTCTCCTTGCCTTTTCTTCTTTTGCAGCGGCTTGGAAATCGATGTCGTCCACGTGAGCCTCCATTTCGGCGATTTGTTCCGGTTTGATCGCCAGACCGAGTTCCTAAAAAATTATCAATAAATACATTTTTAGATGATACCGTCAAGAAATTCGTTATTTCGGTTAAGAAAAAGGAAATACAATACGATGCGATAATTTTACGAGCCGGCCAGTTTAAATTATCACTATCAGATAAGATCACGCATGTGCAACTGTCCTATACGGTTCTTATCCCCATTTCAACGTACACTCTGTATCATCAGATTAGATAAAGAGGGCTTGGTTCTGCTTCGGAATCAAACCTCGGCGTAAGTTTCATTTTGTTACGTACGTTTTCACAGCAAAAGGCAAGTGCTGAGAAGTGCAAACATGGTGTCCCTGCAGACTATCGCGAGTATAGTGATCAAAGTGCTAAAATTGGTGAGAAGATTGTATTTTGGATTTCGTATAGTAATCGTGAAAAGTGAATATCTAAGAAAAAACGAAAGAGAGAGAGAAAGAGAGAGAAAGATAGAGAGAGAGAGAGAATCCATAAAATATCTTATTCCATGTAGTGTATAACGATATCTTCTTTTTATCAGTTTGGAATTCTTGGTTTAGTATAAATTCAATGTATAATATGTACATCTAATTAAACGAGTAAAAATCGAAGAATTTAATTAATTTATAACTACACGATCTAATGTCATCCATTTTACATTCAATTTTAAATTATTTCTTAATTAGATTTTATTTCAATATCTTTTGTAGGTATTTTTTATATAAACTATTAATTAAATATTTAATAAAAGGATAAAATTTATTGAATTGAACAATCATTAAAAAATTCATAATTAATTTGACAAATTTTTGAATGTGCAAACTATAATATAACAGTGAGTACTTTTTTCTTATGATATGTTATATGTAATATATAAAACATTGAAGAAAATGATAAAATGATAAAACGTACAACAAAATTTCAGTGTAGAGAAAACTTCTTCAATATGTAAGAAAGTAATATGAATGTGATACATGTTGTAATGAGTACATAAATTGTTTAATTAATGTAGTCAGTAAATTCTCTCTCTCAATCATGGATAATGAAGAAAAAACGTAGAAAAATCATCAGACACTCATTCAAGGGATGTATGAATCATTTCTATTGCCCTTATCGGTCTGCGATAACGTACGATGTTTAGCAAGCGTTACGACGTTGTCGCTTCTATATTGCACGAAACTACAGAGCGTCCCAGAAAATCTCTTTACAATGAGAATGAGTCTCTACTATATCTTGGTATCACATTTGCTTTCGATCAACTCTTTCGTATAATTTTTAATTTTTTAGTATAAATTTTTCGATCTCAAAATAAAATTTTATGTTCCAAAAACATAAAATTATATTTATTTAAAAAATAAATTTTTATCATTCGTTTACTTTTATTAAACATTTAAACGTATGTTGTTACAAAATATTTATATAGTTGTAAAAAAAAGATAATTTAGACAATAAATTTACTACTAACAAATTGCTTCATTATCATTATATAAGTTCTGGAATTTCACTTATAGATAGCAAAATGTTAATAGTTTACCTATAGATTTGAGCAGAATATTTTGCGGTAGAGATTGACATCAACTGTCTCTGTATGAAGTTCGTATATTTAGCCAGCATAATGTTCACATAATTTGACAGCAAATTGTTAATAGAAATCGGGCAAACTCTGTCACTTCGTAATCATTGAAAGATTTTCTAGTAAAAGAAGGAAAATCAGAATATCTATTATAATATTATATTTTCAATTTATAAAGATTTCTCTTTTAATATTTTCCAGATTTATAAGTTTTTTTTCGAAATTGTATTGGATTGAAAAAAAAGTTCTGCAGTTTTTGTGTTAGCTGAAAACTATATATATATTATTCAATATCTTCGTCAAAAATGAACAAAATTTAAATTAAAAAAAAAAAGGTTTTAAAGCTTGAAATCTCAAATTTAAAAGGTTTTTACAATTTTTTAGTTCATGTGAATTAGATAATTTTTACATATAGAAAATTACAAACTGTAAAAAGGGAAATTTTTTTCTCTTATTTTGTAGGTCTGTCATGTATCAACAAAGAATTTGCAAAAATGTTTGACTATCTAATGTAAAAGCTTAAAGTTTTTTCTAAAAATTTGTTTTAAAAAAAATGTTTCTACGATTTTTTGTTTCTGAGTTATTCATAAGTTAAGGGAGGAATGAGATAAAAAGAACATTTTAATTTTAATTGTTCATAACTCCGTTAAAAATTATTGTACAAAAATTACATCTTAGAATAAATGTTAAAAAAACTTCAAATATTTTTTTATAATATATATATGAATTCATCCATAAGTGTAAGTTAATATTCAAAATTTCAGCAATATCGGAGTGCAAATATTAGTTAAATTCAACTCAATATATATGTGTGTGTTACATTGTAGAATGCAAATATATTTTCAACCTTCTCAAGGCAGGAAAAAAAACATTAGCTTCAACACTAGTTCTTATCAAAAATTCTGATGTGTGAAGTACTCCATACACTCCTCACAAAAGTTGGTGCCCATGATCAGTATGGGAGAAGAGCGCCCCTCTCCTACATGAACTCTCTTGTCGATATTATATGATCAGTCCTAGGAACGCACCGAATCGTAATATTATCGAATATCGAATATCTGCAGAAAAGAATGTAACATCGGATATCCGATATTACCCAGGAAGATAATTTTTCGAATTAGACATCCGATATTTTCCGGATTCTGAGACAAGTTCAGTTGAAAAGAATAGAAGTCATCGCAATGACGTAAACTTTCAATATAAAATTTTAGTCAAATATATTGCCGGACACTAATGATATCCGACTATCCGATCAAATAGTACCGAATAATACGGATTGGATATTTACCGGATATCCGGTGTATACCTAATCAGTATCTCTCCCTACTCTCTTAATTCTCGTGGAGTGAAATCTCGCTTAAAAAGACTAAAAATGGAATTAGTTTTGAAAAAAGAATGAAAATACTATTACTCTTGTTCAAGAGTTTTCCCTCTTTCGAGGATCTTAGTCTCTTTTTATGGAGTGTTTCATCTATCCTTTTTTAGATAGTTTCATTTACACTCCAAAAAAAGAATTTCGCTCCTTTGGAGTGAATCTCATTCCGAAAGAGTAAATCTCACTTTAAGGGCAAAAAACGGTCTTAATTTAACATTCTCCTTTGTCGATTTATCGCAGGTTATCAATCTCATCATATTGATCCTCTACCGCACAGGATTCGGTGGCGAGTTTCTAGGCGTTGGTGGAACCTGGAACTTGAATGAAGACAAGAATCCCGATGCCGAAATCGTCGCTTCCGGCGTATTCGTCGGATTCTTCATCTACACGAGCGTCGTTCTTATCAGCTACTGTTTTGGCAATTCTGATCACAAAAAGACTCTTGTTGTATGTATTTGTTTTTATCATTTTGCTCTTTATTTTATAAACTTTGATTGAACAGTTCGAAAATAAATATATATAATATATTCTATTATTATTATTATTATTATTATTATTAGATTAATAACAAATATATAATAGTAATGAATAATTAAATAAATTATTAAGATAATATATTTTATAATATTTCACACAAAATGCTTTTATTTATTAATACCCTTATTTTATTAAATATGTTATTCATTTAATTTATGATGTTATTATATTACATTTTAATTTAAGATTACGTTTCAAATCTAACAATAATCGGGGTGTAGTTTGTAGAATTGGAAAATATAATATACCAAAAAATTTACCCAGTAAGAAATGATTCGTCAAATTGATATCGAATCGACATTGGTATAATTTCGATATGATTTTAGCAATTTGTTTATTGTGTAACATTTTGCAAAACAATATTCAAAGATTCAGATTTAAGTGTCATTTTTAATATACAAAACATGTTAAAAGCAACAATTAAGCATCAAACACACATTTTCTCTTCATCCTAAAAAGATTAATAGTATTCGCAAAGTTCGACGATAATTTAAAAAAAATTTTGGAACAATTTTATCAAAATATATCATCCTTTTTAAAGGAAATCATTATGAACTTCGTCGGGACTTTCATGTTTGTGGCTGTGGGTGGAACGGCACTACATTATTGGCATGGTTATATACCTGAGCAGAAATACATATATGATGCATCAGAGAGACAGGTAAGTCGAATCTCTAATTTAAAAATGTATATAGATAAATTGTATCGTATTAAACTCGAAAAATTAATAATTTCAGATTGGTTTAGCCGTGGGCTCGTTGTGCGTTTTAGAAGGTGCAGCATACTTAATTGATTTAATACTAAGTTTCCTTCATTACGCTAAGGAAGAATTTTAATAATATAGAACGAAGAGTATTACAAAAGTTAAACATCGTTTTAATATTTACGACAAATTTTCCGTTTCATTCCATCAACACCAGTTGCTACAATTAACAATATATGTATACCAAAGAAAAATTTCACATATTAAACTCTATCACGTTCTCATTGCCTTCGACAATACTTATATTATTAATCACGTTTTTCTGCATAAAAATTTTTCTCTTCGCAGAAAATACAAAAACCTCGTCCTTCTTTGAAGAGAGACAAAGTTTTCCTCATTGTACGTTTTTATACATACATATTTATTCATATATATCTAGTTCTCATTGAAAATATATACTGAAAAAAAAAGATTAGCTGCTGCAGCAAATTACATGATAAAATATGGCATAGCATTTTTAAGTGACTATAGCATCCAATTTTTTGTTGTGTTAGCGTATCCGCAATGTCAATATAGGATTTCGTAGCATTAAGCTAACATAATCAAAAATTGGTTGTTGCAACCAATTAAAAACGCTATGCCATAATTAGCCAATCTTTTCTTTCAGTACTGCATGTAACATATAATACAGAATAAAATTTATAACAAAATTTGTAATAAAATTATTTAAAATATATTTTGTGTACATTTTGAACTCTCATTTATACCACAGTTTTTCGCTATAACGTCGTCTGCATCGTGGGTTTTTCTGCCAGTATCAAATTTCTCTTATTAAAAGTTGTAAAAAATTGAAAAAAATTTTTTATTGTTTTACATTTTTACTTTGTATTTCAAACTTTTTTGAACTTACATTATTGTTTTCTTTTATATATAAGTACAGAATTAGAAAACAGAAATTTTTTAGTTGTTAAAAACTATAATTTTTTAATTCGTAATGTTTAATTGCTCGGCAAGCAAATCTACCCGCTTTGCCGATTTAAAGTCGTTTTTCTTTCAGTGTGCTCATTCGCTCAGCAAGCCGCTTTACCGACTTGAACTCGTAGTCAATTGTCAAGCTGGTTCTACATTAGTCGCATCGCAGCGTCACAAGCGTGTCGCAAGTGTTGTCCAAACAGAGTCAAGCTAGCTTGATGTTGATTGGACCGTATCGCTTGCGATGCTGCGATGCGACTAATGTGGAACCAGCTTGACAATTGACGAGTTCAAGTCGGTAAAACGGCTTGCTGAGCGAATGAACACACTGAAAGAAAAACGAATTTAAATCGGCAAAGCGGGTAGATTTGCTTGCCGAGTAATTAAACATAAATTAGTTGGATACAGGTAAGAATTAATGTAGAATCAGCTTCACGTGCTTTTTGCTAACGCGGGCTTTCACGAAATGCTCATGACTTATCACCTGCTCGCAGATAGCAATAAACTTATTAAATGTTATTATGATCATCCGTATACAATCTCACCTTGTTACTTACTTTTTTTTAGGATCCCCGACTTCCCTCCCTAATCTATCTATGTTATAGCTATTTGAAATTTTAATTGTTTCTTGACAGACCTATACGATGCAGACAGAAGATTATAAATTTTCATTGTAATGAAGACACTCTTCATTTGTTATCATTCGTATTTATTGTCATTCGTATCTCTATATTATCTTATAAATGAACATTTATTAATTTGTTTTTCAAGAAAGAGAAAAACTCTGTATACATAATCCTTTGGAGAAACTTAATGCTACAAGTATTAAATTGGTTAGATTAATTATATTTATTCTTATTAAGTATTAATAAAGCATTGTGTTGTTAGTGTTTTTAATCGCTGTGCTTGTTTTAGTATCGAAACATTACTGTGTCTCCTGATACTTAAAATAACCTAGAATCTAGATAGTTAAGTTCCTTATTCCTTTTAAGAAAAAAAAACCAATTGGTTTTTCGAAATTGACACAAATTTCTTTTCAGTTGATATATTTAAAAATGGTTACAATACTTATATAAGAGGGAACTGTTGCTTGAGTATTGCAAGATGTTTGCAATACTCGGTGACAATAAAAATCGACAATCTAGTAGATAAAATCGATCGGAAGCTGCTTTTCTTAATATTACCGATAATTTAAGCAATTTGTTATCTGAGAATACAGTATTAATCAATTTAATACTATTATAAATATTGTGTTTTTCTCTAAGAAGTTATTATATCATTGACTATTGCATTATGAAAATTTTAATTAAAGATAACTTTTGTACAAAAAGAATGTACATACCAAAAACTGCATCAGAGATTCGTACAACCTTTCTTTTTAATATTTTAAATCTTTTAAATCTTTTTTTTTAAAGAAACTGAGTATTTTAGGTTATTTTTGCATTTCGACGCCTATGGAAATTTATTTCTCCTTGACATGTCTGGTACTTTTTCCCGCGTCTAGTCGAACGACCGATAATACATATCGGGTGATATGTATATGTATGTAGTTCCCTTCGTTTAACGATGCTCAATCACGGAAACTAAAGAAATACGGAGAAAAAACGTAGAAAAAGTACCTAAAAAAAAATAACTCATTTTCGAAATAAATGACTCCTTAATGTTTCACCGGATGATTTCATCATGGGCCCTTTAAGATCCCGTCGTGCGCACCAATTAATCTACTTGACCTAGCGATTGTCGCAGATGACCGACACGACTACACATCCACCCACGAGTCGGGCATATAATCACGTTAATTATGGAGATCATGCCTAATTTGACTAAATCATAAATTTAGTATATAGTAGAATAAATAATCCCTTGAATAAGTATAAATAATTACTGAGAAAGAAAAAAGGTGTTTAAAATCAACCATAATTCAAGAAATGAAACTTTTTTGTATTTGTGACTCTGAAATTGTGTTCTAAATACATATAATCAGAAATCTAAACATGAATATAACCGTTGAAAAGTAACTGCAATCACGTACTCTTCGTAAATGTTTCATTGAGGACGAGTTGACATAGATACCTTATACGTAGTAATCACAATATATATTATAGAAAGTAAGAAATTCTAGTATGTCATATGGTATACTAGTATGTCATGTACAACGTGCGGATCGATTCCACGAAGATTCATTTTTAGTAATGTTGATTACAGCGAGTACTTATAGACTACAAAAGTTACAAGTTGAACGGTTGTACTCTCATTATAATAACATTTTCTTTTACAGCAACGCAAAACCGATAGTCGAAAGGAAAAACAATTTGTGTGCAAATTCAGACAACACAGACTATTCATGATAAATATTTATTACTATTAATTTTTTGAAATGTTATATAAATATTAAATAAATATGAACAACCCCACAATAACAATAAAATTTCTTAATCACTGCATTTTAATCGTATTTTATATAATTGAGATTTTACTTATTGCGCTCCCAGAGTTAAGAAGAGCTTATTAATTATAAAATCCAATAGAATGTCTAGTAATTCAAATTGTTTACTAATCTAGCGAGTTAAAAATAACCGTTCCGCCTTAATTACGTAAGGCGATAATAAGCGCGCATTCGCGTGTAATGCGATAGCGAACCTTTTCGATACGCACACCAGGCAGGCAACCCGTGGAATTACGACGCGTGTCCTTGCACCGCTGCAACGTCAAAATAACGTCATGAAATAGGATCGAGTGCGTTTCCAGCGAAGCAAATCGCTCTCGCGGAAATTCATTGTGAATTTTATAACTCCCGCTGAATTTGCGTCGCGTGCAGTAGCTTTTCGATACTAATGTATGACGAGTTATGTGGAGTAAAATGTTCAGCAAACTATTCAAAATTACGAATATTAATATGAAGAATATTAGCTTACAATTAGAAGACCGGAACAAAAAGTACTGGAACAAAAGATTGTTTATAAGAATGTATACTGAGAAAAAATTTATTAAATTTTATTAAATATTTTTTTGAATAGTCCTAGTGGAATATTTATTTACGATAATTATTTAGATAATTGAAAAAAATGATAAATCAAGCTAATGGTTTTTTTATCTAATAAATATGTGTTTATATTTATTAAGTATTCCGTTAAGACTATTCAAAGAAATATTTATTAAAGTTTAGTAAATTTTTTCACAGTGTATTATATGATTTTCAGTTTTTACTATATATTTGTGATACTTTTATCAGATAAGCTAATCACATTAAAAAGTTAGTTAATTTTGAATTTGTAATTGCGAAAGAATTTTTATACAGAGTGACAAAGAAATATAGAAACCCTGAAAATTTTCGAAAAAATTCGAAGATACTACAAAATTCAGGTCTGATCATTATGATTTCGAATGAAATCATAATGATCAGAACTGAATTTTGAAAGGGACATATTTTGGTCATATTTTCTTTCTAAATCTAAATAAAGGCTCCCATATTTATGATAAAATTTTTTAATTGATATTGGCTAATATTGGCTTTTTTTACTAGCTTTTTAATTAATACTTTTGGCTAATATATAGTGTATACAACCAAACATTTTTAAGAGATTCTAAAATAAAGTTCGAATCCAGATAGGATTACGTGACAAATTGTGTACATGCATATAACATCAATGTAGTAATATGTATTATGTAGTGATGTGCCGATAACACGTAAATCATACGTGTAAGTCTTATTTATTGAATCAATAAAACAACGATTTCATTACTGATATCACATAAAAGTATCAACTTTTAACTTTAAATGCATTTTATTTTAATATAATTCTAGTTTTCTCTCTCTCTCTCTCTCTCTCTCTCTCTCTATGAGATATAGCAACTTGAAAATAGCTTAATTGTTTTTCGTACCAATGAATACAATGTCTAAAATCGACGTGTAAGACGATTTTTAAACCAGCGGAATACAATGATAGTTTTTTTTGCTAGCTGGATTAAATTCTTTCCACCGATTGCGATGCTGACAGTGTCATCGTGTGCCGTCAGCTTGAAATATCCTTCAGAGTTTTCTGTATTTTTAAGATGTTGATTTTAAATATTTTGTTGGGAGATGTAATACATAAAAAAAAGTTGTATATTTATTTTATTTTAATATTCTATTTTAATACTGGATTATATAAAAAAAAAAGATCAATATGCTTTTGTACTTATATACATAATACAATTACATATAATATTATATAAAAAAAAAAGTCTTTTGTTGCCCAGTATTGTATTACAAAATTAACAAAATAGATATTTACATAAGAAAAAAGCCATTATCAAATTGCTATATCATGAAAGAAAAAATTATACTAAAACAAAATAAAATGCTAACAAAACAAAATTTTACAGCTAAGAGAGAGGATTGATATTTTCGCACAAAATTAACAAGATTAGGTTATTTTGGTGTAAGATACAATTTCAGTATTGACCAATGTAATTATGGAGATTTTCCTTCTTTTCTTAAACATATCCTTTATCTCCATGTCTTTCATTATGATAGTCTCTGCATAAAATTATTAGAATTAGAAATTTATAATTTCTGTATGAAAATGAAAATTATATACGTTACTTACATACATATAAATGTCATATGTATACAGTTTGATGACAAAAGGTCAATTTTTAAAAACAATATTATACAATTTTATAATTAGAATAAAAATGTTTTCATATATATTACCTTATTAACTTATATTTTTTAAAAACGTGTCTATTTTAATTCAAGTTCTAAAGCTTCTATCGAGTTGTCGTATTAATTTTTGATAAAAAATTTGTAACTTTTTCATATAATTTCTTCATGTTGTTAAAAAAAAAATGCATGTAATACATCCTTAAATTAGCTTGCTACATGAAACTGGAACGAAGATGCTTCAACGCGCGTCCTGACTTATGAAGCATCATCGTCACTACGCACGTTTAATCGGTGACGTAATAGGGCGTGCACGAGAAGAAAATACTTGGCGCGCGTCCGTGACACATTGGCGGTATAGGAGTAAATACGTATATTTTGAGTATATTTCGACAGACAAAAGCGCGGCCGGAAACCTGGCGGTGCCATACGCTGCCATGCGTGAAAGAACACGACCTCGTTGCATTTTCTCGCCAAATGAAATGTCTTACAATTAGAGAAGTGTGACATTCTATTTTCTAATTCATTTTGTTATACAGCTTGGCGTTATAATAGCAAGCTGAAAAAAAAAGGAGAAAGGACGGCGCAACGGTAACGCGACAAATTGTTGAAAGTTGTTAATGATCTTGGTTTGTGAAGGCGAGCGAAAGCTAAGCGCGGTTGAGTACGGTGCCTAGTATCGAATGGTATCGAAACGTCGATTCCATCGGCCGCGGCACCGCAGTCACCGCATAGAAAACTACACGCCCAAGGCGCGCGCGACCTGCTCGTAAGCGTATATGGGGACTCGTAAAGCGTACTCCGCCTGCGCGGAGGACTCGTTAAGTGTCGCGTACCGCCGCGTGTACGTTCTCTGCGTGTTTCAGGTTTCAGTTCGAGTTGCACTGCTGCACGGCGCGATCGTAACAACCTACGCTGCAACGGCACGTTCCTTCACGACGACGCACGCGTCGCGACGCGTAACAACCTACGCGCATTAAATTCGCCTCCGGCAATCAGCCGCGTTTGAAAAGTGAAGAGTGCGGACGAGCCTCTGGCTGGACTGTAAATTGAAAGTAAACGAAGAAGAGAGGAGAGCACAGCTCTCACGCAACGATCCTTGACTTCACTTTACTTGTGTTCTCCGAGAGCGGAAACTTAGTACTCGTCGGAATCACGGCAGTACGTTCGAAGTGAAATCGAGTTTCGCTGCGGCGAAGCGATAGAGAGGAGTGACGGTACACGTGGACGGAGCGCGTGTCAGGTGAATCAATGGACGGAGTATTTGTTATTCACCAGCGTATACCTCGAGGCCTATTTAGATACAACGAGTTTCAGCCGCGACGGAGTTCACAACTCGCGCGTATATAATATGTAACTCCGTATTCATTCCCGTAAAAAGCAACCGAGTAGAATCGATTTTCTGAAACTACAGAACGCGTCAAAAGGCGTAAAAAGGTGCCGTAATCAAAATACTGCATTCTTTAAATTCTTTTATAACAGAATTATGACAGAAGTCATGGTTAATTTAAAAGAGATTCTTCCGTAATCTGATAGGTTTAGCTGAATCAAGATTAAAGAATTCGATTCTCCATTTTCCTTTCATTTACATTCGTGAAGCTATTAACTAGAAATGTTGTATGTACATTAAATAACTATAATCACTATAAGTAACTATAATTAAAAACTGTATATAATTATAATTAACGGGGCTGGCATGTATTTGAAATACTTTTATTATAAAAGACAGTTTTTGCAATAAAAGTGTAGATATTTTATATTTTGTTATTTCAACGATGAAAGTATTACGTATTTTGTATTTAAAATTGAAAGGTGGGAAGTTCGTGTATTTCATAATTTAAGTAATAAGATTAATTGTCAATCTTAGTATTTGAAATATTACACAAAATACAAAATACTTTTATATACTCCCATAAAATATAAAATACAAAACATTTTCATGTGCTCCGCTGAAATACAAAATATAAGATGTCTTTATATTTCAAATAAATTCAGCCTTAATAATTATGCCCTTATTCTCCCTCATTAGTGTCTAAGCGCGTTGCGTATGCCGATAAAGTACGTGTCAAAATGACGTAATTTCACTAATTCTTATTGCCATTTCGCTTTTTAACCATATATTAAAAGATTGAAACTAAATAAAACTGCGATTGTAGGGGGGAAATCTCATTATGTTGTAGCCCTAATAGAAGCATAAAACGCGAAAGAGCCTCACCCCACGAAAACAGGTGACAAATAAAAAATGACGAGGGACAGTAACTATACTTTGTACTAAGTTTTTTATTAACTATACTGTGTATATGTAAATATATCATATGTATGCTATTAGTTATCTTTATTATACTTAATTACTTGTTACAAACTACATGTTAATTATTTTTGCCATAAGCGTTATCACTAAGGAAATTATTAAAAAAACACATTTAATTAATTTACTAATACTTTAATTAATTTTACTTTAATATATCGACATCAGTCGGTATCAAAATTATTACATAGTTTTATTTTAAAAATAATCTGCGACGCATTTATTCAAGCAAAGTTGACCTGGAATCGTCGAAGAATATAGTGAAATATCTTATCGTTTGAATAATCCGTTCTATAGTCTTTTATTTGTGCTGTACATACACACTTCAACTTCAACCCCACGATTTACATGCAACTCCCTTAGGGGCGATGTCTATCGCGTTTCTCGTTTTAGGGTCGCTAAGACCGAGGAAGGGTAACACGCATAGGGAAGAAAGAATCGATCGTGTCATTAAATCGAACTGAAAATCTTTCAAACTGGGCGACGGAAGAGGAAAACATCGACGGGTGAGAATGGCGGACGAAGCCCAGCAAAGCCAACAGCCGACTACTAAAAGGCACAAGATTCTAAGTCATCTACCCATCATCATCAAAGTGATAGAATTGGTGAGCATTTTTAATTTAATTCGATATAATAATCGAATAAAGAGTAGCATGGATTACAGCGCGCTTTGTATCCCATTGTTGAATATTCTTATCGCGAAAATCGCAATTTTTAGCTTTGAGCTTTTTTTTAAAAAAAATTCTTTAAAAAATATCTTATTTTCAAGAATTTGTTATAGTTAAAATTTATGAAAATTTATGAAAAAGATACTTTATTATCTTCAGATTTATAAGTTTTCTTCGGAAATAGTAATAACGGTATAATAAAATTATATACAATATTATGTACAATATTAAATTATTGTGATAGACTGAATTTATTTTTAGTCTTGAAACGCAATCCTAATAAGACTAAAGTAGTCATATCACAAATTAAATTGACAATTAATTTAATCCTCAAATTCCATACTGGTGCGAATTCGCACTAACATAAATATTCACCAAAATTTCCCATGGGAAACACATATTTTTACTTATTTTTGCACTGCGTTTCCATAACAAAATTAACGTTCAAAAATGTAAAAGTCAAATTTGTATTAGTGTGAAGTTATATGGTTGCGCGAGATGTAGAATATGAGGGTTGATCATATTACTTATATAGGCATCTTTATAATAATTACAATTATATCTTATTTAAGCATCTTAAAATCTGTGAATAATTTTATTGCGCAAAATATTACCTCGGCTGTGGGATCGAACCGTCTTGCGTTTCAAGGTCGATAATAAGTTCGTCGCGCAGTTTGATTAGAGATTTAGATTTAAATTCACATAGAATTGTTTCAGCACTAAAGCATAACACCATTTAGCCTTTATTTCTTAACTGTTCTTAACTGCGTGTTCACAACGCAGTTTAACATGATATTTTAATATTGCTTATACATGCAGCATTTAAAATGCGTACTTTCCATACATATCGGTCATTACGAAGAATATTACTAAGGCCTCGGTGCTCTAACATTGAGGATGCTCACATAGAATACGTGAGATTCGGGTTCAATCCTCAGCCGAGATACTATTTTCGTAATAAAATTATTTTGATATTAAAGTGATTAAAGATTATTATAAAGATGCATGAGCATTATTGTTAAACTATTTGTCAATATAATTTGCCATATTACTACTCTGATTCTGTTAAGATTGCGTTTCAAGACCGAAAATAAACTTGGCGCGCAGTGTTTGCATGATTGGATTTAGATATAAATTCATATAAAATTTTTGCAACACTAAAGATCCAGCTTGATCGTTTAGAATAAAATTGTACTATTATATTATACATAGTATAATTGTAGTAATAATTAATATCATATTAATTATATATATTATAAAAATATTACATCTAAAAAAATATTCTGTTGATAAGCGGGAATTTCTTTTAGCATTTCTTTTAAGCAAAAAATATTACATGAATCAGAGGCGCGAATATTTATAAAATGTATCTATAAAAATGAGAACGTATGAGCTATGATAAAAAATAAATTTCTCTATGGAAAATTCTGTTATAATAACTGGAATAGCTTTTTGAAATAAGAGGATATACAAGATACTAGTGGTACGCTTATTGTTAGAAAAAGTTTGTCAATACTTTATGGCTTTACTTTTTGGAGTATCTTCTTGAAGTCATATATATCATAAACGAAAAATCCTCTGACACGGAACCGCTAAATGGCAGAATATATTCTTTTTTAATGTAGAAATTATAGTATAATTAGAAGAATAAAAGTTATAATAACACAAAATTTTTTTTAATATTTAAAAGTCATAGAATACTTAGAATTCATAAATATATGAAGAATTCTAGAAAAGACATAAAATTTTAATATGTTTTAATATTTTAATGCAGGTATTGGCCGTTTTTGCAATCGGCCTGTCGGTGGATCCGATGAACTCGTTCCAGCGCATTTTCAACAGGCCACGATTCAAGCTGGACGATGCAGCCACTATCTACGTTTCAGTCGCTGGCTATATTCTCATCAATGCGCTCTTCATCATCAGTCACATGCTGGGTGATCGCGTGCCGAAAAGAACGGTAATGTCTATCTTTTTTCAAACACATTAGAATTTAAATAGAATTCATTTTGCATATCTCGCGGCGAATTTACTATCCGTGGCTTCTTCACAAAGAAGAAGCATGTATTTATAACATATTCTACGCATCTTCGTGTAGGGTATAAGAGTAAAAGACTATAAGATGATTCCAAGGATGATCTTTACAATTCTAAATATTTCAACATTTTTTTACAAAGAAAACGAAGATCGATTTCGAATTAATCAAGGAATTTCCGTGATAAATTTTCAGAAGTTGAAATGGCCTAATTTTCTCTTTTCACGTGTTAAATGTATTCCTTTTCTCTTATAAAAGAATAATTATTGCCGAAATAAATATCGACATACGAATACGTGGCGCGTATATTGATCACATTTTTGATAAATATCGTTCTTCAATTTTCTGTAAGTGTTACAGGGACTAACAACCCATACTGTAAACATGTATACTTATTATATCATTACTGCAAACGTGGCCTTGTTATATTATGTCCATACAACAAAGAACGCCATAGGCCGCGACTAGATACGCCTAGTTCATTTGTACAGCTGAGTCATTACAACAGCAGCAATGGCGTATGTGTCAATTAACAAACGCATCAAGGCTTCGTTGCGCGAGACATTTCGATGTCATTTTACACGTCGTTTAAGAATGTGTTGTCAAATGAAAAAAATGCGATATCAGATCAGATACATCAGAATGTGTGTTGAAACCATGATTTATCCGCGCGTGAATATTTAAAGACTTTTCAACTGTGTAAATCTCGCACTACATCTCATATTACGACACATGTATAATCATTGTAATCAATAACACTTGTGGTGGTTTATCATAACAATAGAAAAATTGCGAAATCACAAAATTGATAAATTCTCAACACATTAACGTAAGTCAGAAGTAAAGAAGCGTAATTGCACTATTATATTTTTAAGACCAAATTATACAATCTCATGTTCATGCATATATCTAATTGCACTTTAGTTTATCTTGTGTTTTAATTCTTATCTTTTATACACTCGCACGCAAAAAAAAATCGAGCCACTTAAATTTTAGCACTAATTTTTAATACCTGCAAATAGTAGTAAATAATAATGACTCCTTTTATCTCCTTATGTGGAGCATAGGACGTCTATAAGCCTCTTCCTCTTTTGTCCGAGGCCTATATTCGTTTTCGAATCAGATTGTTTTTCGGATTTATGGATGATTGATCCACAGAATCCTACCTCAGTCAGATATTAGAGACAAATATCTACTGATATGTATACTGATGTATATTGATGTATAGGACCTACAGTTTAACGCCGAATCCGAACGGCGCTGATGATCATAGATCTTTTGATCACCAGGTGGAGCCATTTTTTGGCTCATTAAACGCGAAAAATCGCGTTTGGGCGCACGTAGGATTGAACTCGGGTTTACAGATCGTGAGTCAATCGCACGGAGTGGTGAGCCACTCGACGCCACTACAAATAGTAATAACTCAGTGAAAAATCATCGTAGCGAGATGTTTAAAAAAGCTTTTTAAAGCTTGAAATCTCTACTTTTCAGACCGATACTTCAAAAAACTTGCCGATATTTCATGAAGTTACACAAACACAAATAAAGATGCGTCAGATCTTAAAATTTTATATAAAATCTGTGAAGTTGCACGGAACGAATTAAAAATTATGCACAAATGCCGTTTACAGCTTTCGAAAGAGTGAATCTTTACCTTTAATTTGCTTTTTTGTTGAGCTCCGTACGATTCTTTTTCATTGAGTTATTGCTATTTGAAAATATTAAGAATTAGTGCTAAAATTAAGTGGCCCGTTTATTTTGCGTGTGAGTGTATTTTGATTATTTTACTGTGTATCTCTCTTTAGTTTACAAATAACATATCACTATTTGATATTATTGGTGATTATTATATCCTATACTTATATGCATATATGTCTATTTAGTCAAGTAGGATATTTTATTTCATTATACTATATATTATATATAAAATTTGTTTATTATTAAAGACATGTCTAATATATGTAGTTATATATACAATTTTCCATTATATAATCATTTGTGATTCGTTTACATTATAACTGATATATTATGTCTATACCGGATATTTCGTAATATGTAGGTCTCACGTCAGTAGCAGATGGGGAACAGGAAAACAATGAAAAAAGTTCATATAAACATGTGTCCTATTTGATTTTGTTTCAGAATTAATAGTTATTTTTATACTCCAGTTACGTACTGTAGTTGTGTATCTTCATAAGAGGTATTCGAAATGGTCACTTACGATCTACGCTTATAAGATGATATTTCCTGGATAATTTCCAATCTTGTTATTCTGTTCATTCACATTCTGTTCATTGAGTTTACTCATTTCAATTCATTCTCTTAGTAAAAAAGAAACGCTAATAATTCACTAATTTGCTCTGTAAAAAAAATAATTAAATATATATTCAAATCAGAAAATGATAGACATGCATTTGATACATTGATATTTGTTTAATATAACTCAGTTAGAACAAAATGTTTATACGCAAATCATTTTCCTAACTAAACGAAGTGAGTAGATATGCTCGTATAAAGAGATGTCAAACATTGATTATAGCAATAGACTGAAAGTAGTCGTTTCAAGCTTCTAAGATAAATAACTGTACATACTGAAATACAAAAATGACAAAACTAATTCTAAAACAAGATCAAATAAGACATGTTTATATGAACTTTTTTTAATAGTTTTCGGGTTTTCATCTACTGCTGAAAATAAAACCTATGTATTATATATATAAAATACTCTGTATATATATTATTATATCAGTTATATATTGTATACTTCATACCATAGATATCTAAATTGCTGAAAAAAAATGTGTTAGCAAATCACCATTTTAACTATAAATCTCCGCAAATGCGCGTTACAACACGGCAGATAAGACGAAGGTTACAAACATTTTAAATTTTAACTCATTGTAGCTTTAAGGTACAGTTAAATGCGCATATGAAACACTTTTAAATCACGATGATCACTCCATGTATATGTATATATATATATGCTCTAAGCTATACATATAGCGGCATGTAAAGGCATGACGAACAGGGCTGGGCATGTATTTAAAATATTTTTATTTGAAAACGGTATTTGTGAGACAGTTGTATCGTGAGACAGTTGTATTTTGTATTTCAGTATTAATAATGAAAGATTGAAAGTATTTTGTAATTTGTATTTTAAATACTAACAATAAGATTGACGATTAATGTTATTATTTAAATTAGGAAATACATCAAACTTTCAATCTTTCAATTTTAAATACAAAATATGTAATACTTTCATGTACACCGCTGAAATATAAAATATAAAATCTATTTTTATTGCGAAAACTGTGTTTTAAATAAAATATTTTAAATACATGCCCATAGCCCTGATGACGAGAATATTGTGGTGAGGGAAAGATTATCAGTAATCTAGATATCTATAATATGATATACCTATATGTATTAATAATTTGGTAAGGTATCATATCAGCTATTCGGCTGTAACCTTATTTATTGAGTACTTTGATATTCTTTAATTGGCATAGTCACTTTTTTCTTTTGTATATTGATTTACGCAGAATTAATTTATAATGTTGTTACGACTATTGCATTCAACAAAGTTATTGATATTATTGCTGTAATACTAATATCAATATGAGATTGACATGATAGTAATATCTTTTCCCGAATTTGAGTGATGGAGAGAAAGTTTCTTGTTAAAAAGTTATTAAAATAAAGTTTCCTAAATACCCAAGAACTGTCAGGATTTGTAACTAATTGTGAAATTGAGTTCCAAGTGCCAGCAGGCAGGCGCATCTGCATGTCCATCCTCCGGCTTGTTTCCGCCGGCAATTAAAAATTAAACATAGAGACTCGCGAGAGTTTCTCATCACGCTAACGTTAGAGGTTGTGTAATTTGATTCATGATTAATTGACTGTTACAGTTGCTGATGTTTGCGACCATAGGCGCGTTTATGCACGTCGTGGCCGGAAGCTTGATGGTCCATAATTGGCGCCAAATGAATGGTCCTTACTATTATGTGCACAACAACGAGATCCATCCTAGCAAGCAGTACATGGATATGCTTATATCAGCAGCCGTGTTTACATTCGCGACCGCAGTGGCATTTGTTGCGGAAATTGTCGCTGTTATAAGATACGCGTGAATACGTGCGTTCTCGCAAGCAAGTCCGTGGATTCAGTGAGTTGAAGGACTCATGAGTATCACCAAAGCTATGGATAGTCCATTAAAAAAAAAAGAAGAAAGATACGAAAGATCTGAACTTTTTTAATATACCTATATTACATAAACAGTTTCATAAAATTTTCTGAAATTTACGACTATTAATTTGATACTTCAATGGCTGCATTCAGCAAAAAAAGCAGTTTTGATTGATGATAATAATATGTGGAACTGAGAAATAAGACAATCGAGAGGGATCCAATAGCGCAATTGGTCAATTTAAAATAAAATATTATCATTGGAAAAACAGTGAAAAACAGGATCCTCCCGACTAATCATATTAAAGAATATTACAATAGTTATTTAGCAAAGCTACTTTCTCTACTGAAAGCAGCTATTATTTTATGAAACACAAAAGATTTAAGAATATAAAGATAGAAAGATTATGTATTTATTGATTCATCACAGTTTAATATTATCTGATAAGAGGAGAAAATATGAGATGCTATCTAAACTTCGAAATTTTCCTATAAAACAAAATTATCTACCTTAATTTCTAATTTCTACTATCTTTGAAGTAATTTTGGACATGAATATAGCGATTTCAGTGGTTTTTTCATTATTTCAGAATTCAAGTGAATAGGATGGAAGAACAATCACTATCATATTTTTGGAAGTCAAAAATTGTCGAATAACAACTGATGTATGAAGGACCTCGTTGTCTTGTGACAGAGAACTCAGTTGTTGTTCTCTTACTTGCCCAGATGATCTGATATCCCCTTGTAACCAGTTCAAAGCTTCACAATAAAACTTTCCATTGTGGGTTTGACTGAGATCTATCTAGTTAACTTGTAGTTAGGCTTAACCTGATGTTTTATTCAATGAGCTGTGATGATGTTATGGATGAAGCCCATTGGGTGAAATATTAAATTAAACTTAACCATAAGTTAGCCACATAAAAAAAATCGGTCCTAAGAAAGAATGAAAATTGTGTTTGGATAATAAAAACCCAGCAAAATTGTAGATATTTTTACAAAATACTCACACTTGAAGATTTTCAAGGATATGTGGAAAAAAACATTGGTACCGTTGTATCTATGTCCAACTACTTCGAAGAAAATGGCAAAAACTGGAAATTAAAGTAGACAATTTTTTATAGGCAAATTTTCCAAACTTTTTAGCATCTCATATGTGGTAAAATGAATAGTAACATTTTTGAAAAATATTAATTTTGTAAAATTATCGAACACATATAAAGTCATATTAGAAATTAGAATTATAGAAATAGTATTATATATCTATTATCACTGTAGTAGCATGTAAGGTCATGTATATGCGTGTAATTATTAGTAGAAAAGGTTTAGTTATTAGTAGAATTCTCGTATAGTTATCGTAATTATTTAATAACAAAGTGACCAAACGTGAAATTGCAATTTTTGTCGCGATTTTCAAAATATTCTTTGCTATTCGGATGAAAAAGTGTTCATCCACGTACAAATCCGTCCACTTTTGTACCTAAAGTATTCATTTTTAGAAAATGCTGCAATAAGTACATTTTAAGCTATTTTTTAAGTAGAATAGGAAAGACCTCTTTCTACATATTTGAACTTATCTATTTTTCTTTATTCATCTTTCTAAAATGGAGATTATATCTTTATACTATCACATATCAGGCTGACAAATTTAAAATTTGCAGCAAAATTAAAGGAATGCTGGAGCGACGACGGCCGAACTTGATTGAGATCGATAGTACAGACTTTTAATTCCAAATTCGATAATAATGACATAATTTCATTCATTTCTTATATTATGTTATATATTGTCAAGGTTTGAAAAAATCCGAATTCTTTTGGGTTTTATTGGATTTTTTCAGGTTTTATGCATTTTTATTTTTTTTTACTCCAATACTAATGATTAGCAAGAATCGCTATTTAATATAATATAATAGATAATTATATTATGAATCACACACATACACACACACAATTTCAATTTAATTAATTAAATTTAATTTATTAACTAAAATGTACAGGCACATATAAGAAACGTTCTATGTCAAATCGACCCGATCAGTCTTTGAGTCTGATCATTTTTTATTTATTTCAATTTTTTGATAAATAATAATTCTATGTTAAAATGTTCGTTACGTATAGATTTTTTTTTTATAAATTTGCTTAAAAAAAATGAAAATATAGTTTTTAATACAATTTATATTTACTATTTAATATTTGAAGAAAGATTTAAATTAAAACTAAAAATAAATTAAACAATTTTTTTTATTTTCTAAAGATCGAAAAAACTTTATTATGAGAAATGTTGCTGCAAACTCGAAATGTTTGTTACTTATAATAAATTCTTTGTAAATTTTTTTAAGAAAATAGTATTTTTGAAAAATTATAAATTTTGTACATTACTTAATTATACATTATTTAATAAATAAAGGAAAAGTCATACATAGTTTTTAAGGTGACAGCTCTTTGAATAGAAAAATTAGTTTTTAACTTCTTTTTCTATTTTAATATAAAATCCACTGCAGCACCACCCAATTTTGCATCTACTTCAATTATGTAAAATGATTTTTTATTTCGTCCAGTAAATTCGGAGATATTGATCAGCAATGTCCCCACAACTTGATCACTCCAGCATCCCCTTAATATATATAAAACACATGCAAAATCTACTCATTAAAGTTTTATGCTTTGTATGTGTTTTTTAATCTAATGCTTGTATTTTGTATAACAATAAAATAAAAATAAAATAAATATAAAAAGACATGAAAATTAAATCGTTTATTGAACACTTAACTTATCTCATCGAAATATGGAGTTTATTTTTAGATATTTCAACCCTCAATTGAATGTTACAAGCAGGCGCTATAAAAGAGATTGATAAAATTGAAATATAAAATATTGAGATTTGTAACAAGTTTTAATGAAAAATATGTAAAAATATTTGGAAATTAATAGTAATATGTGAACATTTTTGGATAAAAGAAAGGATATTAAAATAGGAAAAGAAAGTGTAATATATTTTTCTTTTTCTATGCTTTTCTTTTAGCAAATTCATAAATAAAAATGGAAGACGAACGTACACGAAGTTAGTTATTCTTTGAGGAAACAAAAATGTGCAAATGCCCGATAAATGTCAAAAAGTTTTAAATGGAATTTTTTCATATATTCTCTCTCTCTCTCTCTCTTGTACATATTAATTTATATTATAACATGTTATGTCGTAACATAATGTTATACGTTATAATATCGCTACATTAAGTATTTATAAATAACAAGAAACAAAACGGAAAAAAACGAAAAAGGTTCTTTATAAAAGTATCTTTAGAGGCGCAGATAAAAATGCCAAAAAAGAATATGTATGTGGATCAGCAGAAGCTGTTGCAACACAAAATCAGTAGATGCGTATCGACAATGATCAAGCCGCTGAGGATATTTCAACTCGTACGTATTGGACATCACGTTATTTCATTCGATTGCAATCTTAATATCAGAATTAGAATTAGAACTGATAACATCTCGTTGTGCTATAAAATTTTCTCTCAAGACAGTTTGCGGTGCTGTTATTGTTCACGGTTACGATTTATATGATTGTTATGGATCCTATGCCGATAAATGCTTTTGTCTGCATCCTCTTGATTGTCCTATCGGGTGTATATATTTTCGTCTTAGCCATCGAGTTAATCAGCCACTATGCTGGAAGTGCTTTGCATATTATTCCGGTAATTTATGTCGTACTATACACATTACTGTTTATTGAAATAAGAGTTATGTAGACTTCTCCTCAAAATTTTAAACTTGAAAAAAGAATAATTATAATAATGCATATTGCACATTATACTTATTAATAAAATGTTAATAATAATTTTTTTAATTCTGTATGTTTAAAATATCGTGTACAAAATATTTTGATTTTACTGAAAATAAATATTATTTATTAATTATTATCAATTACAAATATAAATATTTTTCTATATTAATTATCACAGATGGCCGTATTCTCCTTACTTGGCCTATTATTGTTTACTATTGCCGGACTTTCCTTGATTTTTAAAGCCTATACACAACTCATAGTGATAATAGCGATAACACTGTGTCTGTTGGCAGCGTTATTCTTTTTGATTGATATCACGATGGTACTCGCGTGAGTTATTAAGGTTTAATTTTAAATCTTCGAAGTAGACAGGCAGACCTAATTGAATAAAATTATAATAAAAGTATACGCATTTAGATTTTGGAAAAGAAAATGCTCAATCTGCAGACAATGTTGCAGTAACATGACAGAACTTGTACCACACAAAGTCAAAGAACCAAGTGTACTAGGAACCCAAGTGAGTAGTCGCGGAGGAACGCTTCACAAGTATTAAAAATTAGGACACTCAATTATATTATAGATTACAGAGATTTACAATTAAAGATTATTAAAATTTAATTTAATTAATAAAAACTTATTAATTCAATTAATAATTAGTTTTTTATTAATTACATTAAGTTTTATTATTTATAATTAAATTAAATTTTTAAAAACGCTTTTTTCAACAAAAATTTTTTTTTTTAATTACTATTTTTTGCTATCTCTCTCTAAATAACATATTATTTAATTTTTAATATCTTTCATCAAATTAATGTGGCTAGAAAATTATGTAATCTTATTTTTATAAAAAAATTTTTATTCTATTTTTGTAGTTTCCCTTATACTTAAGTGTATTTATATCTTCTAAATTTTTGCGCTGTCTGGGCTCTCTATAATATACTAACTTTATTATATTTAACTTCAGTTATATATTATATAATAATCTAAATTTATATATTTCCTTCCGTTTTCACATTCAAGCATTACGAAATAATAAATAAAATACGACTTAATTTTTCAGAAGTAATGACTCTGTCACGGATAAACTTATTTGAACTTTACAGTACTGTGAATTAAAAGATTACAGTTTTTATTCTAATTTAAATTTCTCGAATATAAATGTAGATGAGACGCGATGTAACGACCAGTCTAAGTGATATCAGAGTACCTTGTGATTTACAAGGTGTTGCAACACCCGATCACAGTTATCGCAAAGTCGAATATGCTCGACGACGAGAATACGTTGACAGTCCTACCTGCGTGCCATCATTGTGCAATCTCGACGTCGCTCAAATTCAAACGGAATCGAGAAAGATGTCTGTCGTGGAAAGTCAAGTGAGTCGGTTTTGAGCATTAAACTCATTTTAGCCCTACAATTATTAACTTTATATTCTTTTTTTTTTTTATTTATCGGAAAGATATCATCTTTGTCGTTCACTCTGTTTTTTTAAATTCGTACGCACGTTTTCGGACAAGATCAGACTCCGAGAGCGGTCACGAAGGAAACACCGATGCAGACATTGAGCAAATGCGAGTTCTGTTCTCAACATA